GCTGACTTTTTTCAATTTGAAGACAGCAAAGGTTTTCATTTTCACAATAAAAAACACAGTGAAAGCTGAACTGCCTTAATGGATTGGACAAAGCTCGTCTTTACTCCAAATGCTTCTTTCAGATGTTATCATAAATTGTAAATAATCATGCTCTCGATTGCATGTGACACTCAATCTAGTTATGCACAATTAAAAAGGCTGATGGGATTAGTGCGCCACATATTAAAAGCTGCTGAGAAAGGAAAGGATGTATGACATCCATTACATACACACCCACTTTGAAAAATGTTTGTCGTGTGGATGGTAGAAATTTCAATGAGAACAGACTCAGATTTACAAATCTATCCTTTACATTAAATAGCAAAAACTCCAAACAATCTCCAGTTCGTGGTAGTATATTTGGTAGATAACATTTCTATTAACTCCAGTTGTGCAGCTGACGTTAATCCTGAGGTTTTAAGAACTTTTTCTTAGCTTTTTTGCTAGGTCTTGTGTTACTATTCCCATCTTCATCTTCATCCTGGAGTACACGCTGGTCTCTTTTCCTCAAGAATTTCTTCCCTATTGTTCCCACTAATGTTTCATATCTAGAAAGATAATAAAAAATTTACAGCTTTTACTAAAATCAGAGAAAACTTCAATGGAGCAAATTATAAATCTAATCAACAATTTAAGTGGTGTAAAAAAGCCGGTCATCAAGCTTAAGAAGCACAAGTTCTACCAGATCGCTTATTACACCATTATTCATTCTGATAGTTTGGGTTTGTTAGCAATCTGGAACAAGGAGGGAATTAGCATGGAATACCTGGATATCAAAAGGCAGAAAACCGCTACAAGACATTTCACCCCCAAAAGTGATGGAGATTCCACTGAACACACACCATAAGTCCTGGAAATCCAGTTCTGTAAAGTACCGTGTTCTGTTCTGGGGTTTTTTTTTTATTGTTTTATTTTGTTTGTTTGCTTTTTGGGTTTATTTTCTCACACATAATGCAGTAACATATCATATTCCTAGCTAATATTGATTATGTCATAAAATATAACTTACCTTCTGGCCATTTCTTCATCTGACACATCAGCCTCCATTTTATCATCCACTTCAATTTCTTCTTCCTTGCACCTAGAGTTCATTTGGATCATTAACTTCTGAAAATGAAGTAAGAAATAGCTTAAACACGTAACCCTGACACAACGGCAACCACGCTGAAATTCACTGGTAGAAGAAATGCATAAAAGGTAAGAATCAAATTTAATAATTATTTGCTGTTCCTTGGTCAGGCTAGAGCATACTGTAATGAAAACTCATTGCAGAAAAGGCAATATGCCTGCCTGTTGCTAAGCTGAGCTTAGAGTTTGCCTTTGGGAAAAGAGGCAACACAGAGACAGGGTTTTCAGTGAATCGTACTATTCAAACATCCTCAAGAGCACGTCAGACATCTTCAGGAGACCAGAGAATTAGATCACAATTAATTTTTCATTGTGATGTTAGCACATAGTCCTTGAAATGGTTTTGTTAAGAAGGAAAAATATCTGCAAGGATTTACAATATACTACTAGTAAAAACCATGAAGCAATAGTATGCCAAGTCACAGTGAGAGCAAGTTCAAAATAACTAAAAGAATGCCCTAGTAAGTCACCTTGCATAGCCTTTTGCATACCTCTTAGTCTTTACACCTTCATCCTCTTGCTTCAGTTCAGTGGTAACATTTTTGTTACTATCGCATTGTAGTTCTATCGACATGAATCATGCCAGAAAGAAATTAAAGACACTCTTGCCTAGAATTTTTACTTTGGAACTTTAAGCCCTTACTTACACAATTAAGTGTTGAATAAATAGGGTTGAATGTTTGTAGGATTGGACTCTAAATTAAATAGCAGGAGGAAAAGTGAGCTATTGTTTTGGTGAGCAGCATGTGGGACAGTTTCCTCACTTCAGGGAGGGAAAACCTGCAGGAGTCATGCAATTACTGACCGTCAGCACAAGGCCATAAGAAGCTTCTATTTACCAGATGCTGCATTGATCAACATTTTGGTTTGAATCAGGGATTTCCTGTACATGGGAGGATTTATGGAAGGTGCTGCAAAGGCCAAACAGCATGCAGTGTGAACACTCAAATGCTCAACCCCAGGGGCTTCAATCCTAATGCGAGATCACCTCAAAACAGAGTATTTAAACAGTACCTCAATTTCTGGATTGAATCCTTTGAAGGACATTCTGCCATAAAGTAGATCCTCACATGGCATAAAGCTCCTCTCTTCTATTATAAAGCTCCTGCATGAAACCCCAAACGCAGCATTTGTCAAACAGTGTGCTTTAAAATAATCAAATTAAACAAATGCAAAAAGCATTTGCTCTCTTCCCCCCGCAAAAATAAACAAAACCACAGTGTATTTTAAACCATCACCTACTTTCTGAAGCTTAATTGCTCTGATAAATCTTTCAATACAAGGAGCTTGGAGTGCAAAGGAATACTTTTTGCCAGTTAAGCTGTGCCAGTTCCACAAGCAAAATTAACTCTCCTGACAAAAAGCACTCTTTGCTGGTATGATTCCACCTACATTAATGCTTTTGCCAGAACAAAAATACCACATAAATATCACTCTCCAGGTGGCATTACTATACCAGCAAAAGCTTCTAATTAATTTTTCATTGTGATGTTAGACCTGGCATTAGTTGAGTCTGTCAGGATATAAAACACTGTGTAATTCTCTGTTCAGCAGAGAAAGATTTCCCCTTTCTCCCTCCTTTTTTCCTCTTTTAATGAGCATGGAGCGAGAAAAGAAACATGACCCTCAGGCATGCATAATACACGCATTAGATAAAAGTACTTCCGTGAATTGTTCCATCCTTCTTTTCCTCGCACACACATGCACCTCTTCCCTCATCCTCTTCATCTCCCATGTACAACAACCTCCTACAATCATACGAAGTTAGGCTGAAGAGATCAAGCTCATTCTCCTACCTCAAGGTAGGATCAGTTAAACATGTACCATGAACAGCAGAGGTCCACCTAACCTGTCCTCAAAAGACTTCCAATGATGAAGAATCCAGTGTCTCCTTAGGCAATCTATTCCAGTGCTTCAATAGCCTCATTGTTAGAAAAATTCTCCCAATGTCCAGCTTGAACCTCCCTTGCTGCAACTGAAGCTCAAATACCTTTTTGTGATATCCACCAACAGTAATGGAAAATAGTTTATCAATGACCTTATTCAACCACAGTTAATTCCCTGGATCCCAGCTTTTTAAAAATTATGCATGTTCTCCCTCAATGGAATTTTTGTCCTCTTTTGAAAGGACAAAAATCAAGCAATTTTAAAAGTAGTTCTCTTGCTATTTAAAGCAAATTTCTAAATAGCAGGAATGGACATTTTCTTCCTTATTAGCTAAGCCTTCCTTTATTTTTGCCATTATCTCTCTTATTTCAAAAACAGGATTTGAAGTGAGCTGGACTCAAGAAGACAGAACTGTCCTGAATGGACCTAACTGTGTGACTGGAGCTGAATTTACTAACACAAGGTTTCAAACTTCTTTTTTCAAATAAAGGGAAAAAGCAGCAGTGAATGAATTGGTCCCTGCCTGAACGAAACTAATTACATGCATCTAGAAGAAACTGTGAGTGAAAGAAAACAACACACACAAGAAATTAAAGTAGGTCAAACTGCACTAGGCAACCTTGAGAACGTCCCTGAAAATAAATACTAAAAAAAGCTGTAATGCCAGTCTGTCGCTATTTTTGCTTCTGTTAATTGGTTATTAAAAATACTTCTTTTATAGGAAAAAATATGTATATTCTATTCCCGCTCCACAACAATCCAATGATGGTAAGAAGTATAAAAGGGTATAAGCTTACTCTTTCTCCTTTAGATCTGGTAAATCAAGATACCAGTGTTCTTCACTAATTATCTTCTTCTCCTCCTCTTCTAGTTGTTTTTTAGTTTGTGAATCCAAACCCCTTTGCATGAACTAAAAAGAAAGACACAGAAACACACAGCTTCAGTTTTTTGCATCATGAGTATGTTCTGAAAATGCGATAATTACATGACGACAATTACCCGTTACATAGTATTTAACAGTTGATAAAAAGTAAATGCTTTTCGTGATTTTTCTCTGGGTTTAGTCTAAGTTTGGGCAAACAGACAACGGAAAATTAAACAACTGCTGATCACAGCTATCTACTGAAGTAAACAGTCAGCCACATCTGCACTTACAAACAAAGAAACAAAGGTCTCCTGGTTAGTTTTGATGGATCTGAGTTGTTATAACTCCATAACTTTGCTAAGATTTTTCTAATGCTTCAGCAAAGGCCGAAGAGAATGTAACGGTGTGAAAGTTACTGCTGCATATCAGAAACCAACAGCACCCATACAAACAGCACTGGAGCTCAGAGCTAGAGGTAGGTCATGCCAGGTTGGTCATCGTTTGAAACATCTATACTTTCAATCATCCTCTTCTTTTCTCAGATTTAATTTAATGAACTGGCTTGCTTTTGTAGCCCTGAAGGCTGGAACCTGCCTTTGGAAGTGGAAAAAAGTAACTGAGGCTACGAAGTCTTTTGTATCCAGCTGTGCTAGAAGAAGATGTTACCAGCTCTTAACTTCTCATCGATGACCCACCACAGTACCAGTCAAGCTGTATGTGTAAGCACCTGTTAACTCACTGCAGGAACAGTCTGCCGAGTTAGTTGAGACCGATAATTCAGTTTAGGGCAAGGCTGCTAATTTTGCCTAATACAAGGACATTCCTGTAATTTGCTTCCTCGGTGATAACCTTTGGCAGAAGATGGGAACAGGCAGGTAGGAACAGTAACCTCTCTCACAGCTGGGAGTAAAAGAGGGCATATGTCATGGCCTATGAAAAATTGCTGAGAGTGCAAAACTGCAAACCTGATATATGTGAAACAGCCCTTTTGTTTCCATTTGTCTCAAGTCAGGTGCCTGAATTGAGTGGCAATTTAAGTATCAACAATGTTAACCAAACATGCTGGAAAAAACAGAAGTCTTTACAGCTTTACAGTGGTCATCCTTACATTTTCGCATCCCTAGGAGCTGGGACCTCCCTTACAGACTACAGAAAGTGTTTGAATAACTGTATCTGTCAGAGGTGTACATTTATACCAATGCAATTCCCAGCTAGAGGCAAGTCTACCAGTACAGTTTATACACACTCCTGTACAAAAATTGCTTTGTGGCTATCAAAGCATACTCGTATGTGCAACACTGCAGAGGAATTTCATATCGACTAATTTTACCCCTCTCATTTAACGCAGCACCATCTTTGTGTTTAGATAAGCCTGCAGGCTGACAGATAACGTGCCAGTTGGGGCACATCTGTCTCTTCAACACTAGCAGAGACTTGGACATTGTTTAGGTCCCAGCTAACATGAGCTTGGCTGCAGATAAAGCCCAAGGAGGCATCACAAAACACTTCCCTCCCACAAAATTACTGAGCTTATTTAAGATATATAGGTAATACAGACATGTAATATATGTATTATATACAAACCCCACACCTTTTCAGTCTTTACAAAATGCCCAAGCAAACTAAACCAAACTCTGAAGTAAAAGGCAATATAGTGCTAGTGCCTCATTTTCTATTTATATATCTATTTGCATCCATTTGTACAAGATCTTTAATGAAAGAAAAATTGACTGTCCTTTTCCGAGTCGATCCAAACTACGTCAAAGCTTTCCAATTAAAATTACAGTATCTTCTTGAGGAAAATAAGGGAATCTATCATGTGGAAAACTATATTGCTCAAGGAAATTGGTTAGCCAGTCAGAAATCTCAACAGGAGAAATTCTGCTATGAGCACCCAATTAGACAATCATTTCACATTACATTTTAAAGATTATGTTCCCGAAGATTACTACAGGAATAACTAGGTAAAAAATATGTGATCACATTTATCTAAAATGTAAACATACATGGATGAATTAAAAATATACCCATTGTGGTAGACACAGAGTATGTCAGTAACTGAGTGGTTATTTGGATTAGTTTCCCCAAGCAATGGGACCTGGATCAAATGGTGCAAGATCTAAAAGCATGAGCCATCCCTTGACATCAAGAGGTGAGCATATGTGGGACGGTACTTAGCGCAACGGGTCTTCACAACACTACCACTGACCGCATGTCGCCTTTGGGTGACGCTTCACCTGCCCATTGAATTGTGATAATACATCTTATCAGTACCTGCGGAAGCAGCTGGTAAAGGATTAATTTGTAAACATTTGTAAACAAGAAGATCTGCAGAAGGGAAGCGCTAAATACAAGATCTGTGTATGACCTTTTCAAAACCTACTCATCTCTTCAAAGCTGGTTACTACTGCCCGGACTGGAAACCTGCAAATGTCATGGCAGTACATTCACAGGCTGCTTCTCCACAGCCTTCCAAGGAAGAAAATCTAAAAGCCAGCTTTTGAAATCTCCCAGGGGTTAATAAACTGGCAAAAAAACAGGAGTGGTAATTTCATTTTAAAAGAGACTATTACATAAAAATAAGAAAAAATAACGATGTTGCAGTCCAGGTTATGGGACTCTTACTCTGTCATATGCTGCTGGCTAACTAAGCTCAACATCAACTCCCTTTTGAGAGCAAGGCAAGATGTGTTCTATTTCCTCTGTGCACGAGTTTTACTCTTTCATTAGCAGCATTTGTTAATTGGGATAAATATTCCACCATCTTACTGTAGAAAAGTACACTTTACATGGTAGATTGAACTGAAGTCAGCTAAACTCCTTTCAGCCAGTGTCTGAAATATAGTCCCATATAAATATGTGGGGACAAAAATGGTTAAATAAAACATTACAAGCAAGAAGCCACAAAGGCCCCGTCACATTCAGTTATAAAAATTTAATGGATATTAACATTTAAAAAAAAATTAATGGCAACTCAACTTTTACTGGTTGTTGTCCAGCAATAAAAACCATCAATCACAGCAGAATGTACTCTACTGAATTAGGTTTTGTAGTACACGACGTGAAGCAGAATCCATTAGCCAGTAAGTGGAGACTAATTTCACATTGGAGCTGACATGAGATTCACAATTCCAAGGGTAACAGGCACGTCAGGATGTTACTAACAGCTCTTGCGTTCATGAGTTGGGAAAGGTAGTTAGCACTGCCGTTCACGTTGGGTATTTTATTAGCCATCAATGTAAACAGCCAAAAAAATGGACACAATAAAAAAAAGAAACTTCTTTTTTTCAAGATTGAAAGCCCCCCCAAGTAAGGCAAGCAACATTAATATTTTAATTTCAACGTGGGTGTGTGGTGGGGGAAGAAAAGACTATTCACGATAAACAACCTAACTGCAAAGAAACCAGGTGGAACGAAGAGACTCTCAAATGGTGCCCAAAAGTTGGCTCTTGCTAGTGTGAGACTTTTGCTGCAATCATTAAGTTGCTTTGCTGGATCAAACCCTCCAGCACCCTACAGTTTACAACCCTCGAGACCTCTTGCCAGCATTTAAGCAGCCCGGTATTCGGTGACAGCTCTTTGAAACCGCCTCTTGCCAGTGAAGTTGGAAGGAAGCAGCTCAGTAAGCTGCAGGCCTGAGTGAAAGCGCAAGCGATAAATATGTATTTTACAACGTGCATTACAGGAGGTAGGAGACACTCCTGCCCCTGTGTCAGACCAGGACAGACACTGCGTGGCCAGGTGTAGACACGGAGAAACGCCCCAACCCAGGGAAAGGCCGCCCACGATGGCCTGGTTTATCCAGGAGACCCCCGCCCTGCACAGTAGGGCTCGGCCCCTCACGGGCCGCTGCCGACGCCTCGGGGGCCGGCGCGGCCCC